CACGCTTGTAATCCCAGCTTCTCAGGAGGTTGAGATGTGAGGATCATGGTTCAAAGCCAGCCAAGGCAGGAAAAGTCTGTGAGACTCTGTTCAATAAACCACTAGAAAGGGGCTGGGAAGGTGGCTCCGAAAGTGGCGCTGTGGCTCAAGTGGCAGAGTGCTAGCCTTGAGCTGAAGAGCTGAGGGACAGCGCCCAGGCCCAGAGTTCAAGCCCCACAACCGACCAAAACAACAACAACAAACAAACCTCCTCCCAGGATCCCATTAGTATGCAGTGAAGTATAATTTTGAAGCAAGTAACATTGAGGGACCCCTACTGTCAACTTCTACCTCAAGAGCTACTTGAAGAGGATAAAACCCTAAGGTCACAGGCTGATGCCTGAGGGCCTTGACATCTGATATCCTTGTTATTTTTGGTTATTGTCTGGATGGTGCGTGGATGAGAGAGCTAGTCTACTCCATCTTTACCCCTATTATAAGCATTTGGGACCAGATCTGTAACAAGACTGGTGGGGACCTGGGTTTACTACCCAGTATCAGAAGAGAAAAAAAAGTGATAGGGAGCTGGGCACAGCGACCTGTGTTTATAGTTCCAGGTACTCTGGAGAATGAGGGACAATTGCTTAATGAGCCTAGGAGTTTGAAGCCAGTCTGGACAATACAGCAAAGACCCACTTAAAAAAAAAAAAAAGGCCAGGGTAGGAGGGAGTATTGGGGAACTAGGGATATAAATGAGGCTTGAAGGTCTTGGAATTCACTTCCTAAGTGAATTGATCCTTTCTGCAAAAGGATCCAAAGGAGGATGGGAGGAGCTGGCAGGTCATTTAGAATGTGGCCTGACCGTGAACAAGGAAGTTCTTTCATAGCTCAGGAGAAGGGATTGCTTGCTGGCAAGAAGGGAATATCATAAAATCCACAAAGGCCTTCTGTGATATATACATTGCTGCAAAGTCTGGCTGGAAAACAGGAACAAGGCCAAGATTCCACAGAGGCCACAGCCCAGGCCAAGTCTGCCTCGCATCTCCTGTCACCATTCTTGGAGCATGTTCCAGAGAACAGGAGCCCTGTGGTAACACACCAACAACCTAAGAGTAAGGTGATGTGTTGGGGTAGGAAGGTGGTTCAGTGGTAGAGCACTTGTTTTGCATGTATGAGGCTCTGGGTTCAATTCCTCAGCACCACATAAGCAGAAAAAAAAAAAAAAGCCAGAAGTGGCACTGTGGCTCAAGT